AAATACATTGGATGGCTAACCTGACCGTGTGGTTGGTGGTTGGGAGATTTGTTGTAAATATAGAGGGAAATGATTCCAAAAATGATATGTCAAGTTTGTTTTGTTGTTGGGGGGGTATTTTAGGAAATAATATTTTACAACAAGGGTCTTTTCAGTTTTCATTATACACTTGTGTATTATTATTATTATTGGTTACTCATGGAGTATCGTGGAAGGTTATAAATCCTTTTTCTTCCATCGATGCTGTCGAATCTAGACTCTAGAGCGATAAACTTATAGACGTGTATCTCGTCCAGTGAAACTTGTACTTTTCTTTGGATTTCGACTTTTATTTTTTGCTCTAGATGTTTTACATGAAAGTGGATATTAATGTATGTTTTAGTTAAATCCTATGTATTTTGCTCATCGAAATGTTCGAAGACCTCAATTTTGTTATATGGAAACGGCGTGATATATATATATATATATATATATATATATATATATATATATATATATATATATATATATATATATATATATATAGAGAAAAGGAAATATACATTACAGTTCCACCTAAGCTTAGGTACTAAATCTCTTGAAAATACATTGTTTTACTATATAAAGATTACGGTTAATGGATTTACGATTAATACTTCAAGATGTAAATTTAAGATCGATACAATAAGGCTTAGGGTTTAAGGTTTAAGGTTTAGGGTTTAGGGTTTAGGTTTAGGTTTAGGTTTAGGGTTTAGGGTTTAGATTTAGGGTTTAGTGATTAGGTTTAGGGTTTAGGGTTTAGATTTAGGGTTTATTGTTTAAATTTAGGGTATATGGTTTAGGTTTAGGGTTTAGTAATGTTCATTTGGGTGAAGTAATAAACGATAATTGAGGAAAGAAAACAGAGATGATAAAACGATAATGAAAGAAAGAAATATTATGGAGGATGATATATTTACCAAGTGAAACCAAATCGGGTATATTTAGCATGTTAAAACGATATATTTTAAAAGTTTAGTACCTAAGTTTAGATGGGGTTGTAATGTATATATATATATATATATATATATATATATATATATAATTATATATATATATATATATATATATATATATATTAGCCATCTACCCGTGCAATGCGACGGGCGGCAATAACTTTGTTTCAGCAATTAGTTTCATTTTGGTGAATAGTTTTTAAACGAAAGTTAAAAACTTCAATAAATAGATTTCTTGCGACGATTTGTTTCATTGCGGAAACATGTAAAAATCCATAAATAACACAATGAAGTAGACGATGATTGTGCATTGTTGGGTTAAAAATAAAAATTTATTATTATCTTTCATAAAAAATAAAGGTATGATTTTTAGCTTTAAAGTATTTTGTATGTTGTTTTCTTTTAACATATAAGTTGCATTATTATTTTGTGTTAAAAATAAAATTATATTATTGTTTTGGGTAAAATATTAAAAATCAAAATATGCACATATTTTCGAATCTTTTTTAAAAAAAAAATAATAATAATAATAATAGGGCAAATTACACATCTAGTCCTTTTACAAGATTTTTTTATATTATCCACATTTTTCTATTGTTTTTTGTGGTATACATATTAAGTTATAATATGAAGTCTTTGTATTTAATAATTTATTGGGTATTAATCAATATAGTATTATTAAAATAGTTGGTTTCCGATCAATTTAAATTAGATATGTTTGATTTTTATTGTCAAGAATTATTAATCATTCAGTTTGTTTTATATATCACAGTAGTAGAAGAATATGTGCTACATATTTGCTTGAAAAGTTTTATAAATCATTTGAATGTTTTTTGGAAACTACATTTCTTTCTTTTTAAAGATGAAACATAGTTGCAAAACTTAGTGGATACCTTATGTTGAATTATCATTCGTCCTTTTGGCATACTATTTTTTAAACAAACAGTACAAGATGAAATCTATGTCTGTGTGATATGTAGCTACTACACTGTTCATGATGCTGCTCAAATATAGGCCAGAGGACAAAGCTGCAAAAAAAAGAACGCCTTTTTAAAAGAGCTCAAGCTGAGACAGAAGGAAAGACAGTTGAGGCTAAGAAGCCTATTGTGGTGAAGTATGGACTTAACCACATCACTTATCTCATTGAGCAGGTTTCCTCTTAATTTTCTAACATATATCTCAATATCTCTCAATTCTCTGTATTTAGAAAGCTCTAAAATTTCATACGATTATGTTTCAGAACAAGGTTCAATTGGTTGTGATTGCTCATGATGTGGATCCCATTGAATTGGTTGTCTGGCTTCCAGCATACAATTATACATACCGCCGGATAATTCTGGGGTGCCCGACCTACCCTGTTTTGGGGTGCATGCCTACCCTTCGATCTATCTCACCCAGTCACGGGGACTATTTCACTTTCACCCCTACCACTATCACATAATAACATATCATAATCATGATGTCAGACATTGGGTGTCCGACCTACCCTTTTATCCTATCGACCAAATCATGGGACTTCGTTATTAAACACAATTTATCCTTAATTTTCTTATGATTCATACAAATCGTAATTCAATATAAATCGGCTAAACAAGGTCGTTCCTCTTCCACAACCCAGTTATTTTTTTATGCTATTCGTCGGTGGAACCACATACACAAAATTGATTGAATTTGAGTTTTTGTTTATTTTATTCTCATATTATTTATTTAATGAATCACAAATACAAAAGGATAACGTGAATCCTAATGGTGTGGATATAGTCATTTAATCACTTTTTCTAGATTGAATTGGGATTTTCATTTACTATTAACAATGAAAGTTTCTGTGTGGGATATAAATCATATAATCACTTAATTAATTTTTTTTCTCCACTCACTAACATCATTTGAAGCCAAAGTAATGGATATCGAATTGAATAGCATCGTCTATGGAGGAATAAAAGAAAATGAAACCGATACAATTTATAATATATCGTTTTAGAGAATTGTTTTTTTTAATGTAAATTAAACAACTAATCAAAACTACATAGTTTTAAGCGTTGTGTTCCTACTCTTATATACCGTTAAGTATATTCACTTTTTCATATATATATATATATATATATATATATATATATATATATATATATATATATATATAATATATATATATATATATATATATATATATATATATATGTTCAGGTTCATTTGAAACAATGCTAATTTTGTAAGATCGTAAGATCAAATTTAAAAATAATTTTAAAATGCAAAATAAAAGAAAAAATCCAAAAATTATTTTTTTAATTATTATTTTCGGAACTTTAATTACCTAAAAAAATAAAAATTTACCGTTTTTTCTAAAAACGTGAAATATTCTAATGTGATTTTTAGAATGCTAGAATATTCTATTAGATTTCTCAGATATGTAGAATATTCTAATACTATTATTTTTATTTTTTTGGTATTTTTTTGGGAATATATAAATTCCGAAAAATATTTGAATTTTTTTTCAAAAATTTTCAATTATTTTGCATTTTAAAAATGTTTTTTTTATCTACTAAATGAGTGACTATGATTGCGTCTCACGGTCTCACAAAATTATGCCGTCTCATATGAACCTAACCCTATATATATATATATATATATATATATATATATATATATATATATATATATTATAATATATATATATATATTATATATATATATATATATATATATATACACACACACACACACATTTTCTGTCGACATAGAATACCTACTACCATCATGTGTATTTATAAGTCTTAAACAAACTTGGGTGCTATAACTCACCCATTCTTGTAAGAAGATTTTGTCTCACGAATATTTTATGTCAAAAGATAAGATTCTTTCGCTTCTAAAAACCAAATTGGTCCCACAAGGGTACCTTCCAAAATTGTGTAAGGGGGCTATCTTCATTTCGTGATAGTCCCGACTTCATCATCTTTATGATCATGTCATCACATTACTTCATGTTTTCACTTAGAAAACTTACTTTTCTGACTTCAGAGATAGCAATATGGTATTATTTCGGCTCCAATTTAACATGTTGGATTGGATTGGTAAACTCTCAATTCATTTAATTAGTGAGATCGAATGGGGTTATAACTTTCAACATGTTCACAAATAGTTGAACTCAAACTTAACTCAACTAAACTCATTGTCACCCTAATCATAACACGCCATATTTTAAGGCAAGGGAATTATTAATCCCATTTGGAATAAGTTTGAGATCAATATTACATGCAGATTTTGGGGAGAAGTAATTCAATGAAGTGGCACAACAATTTTTCACTATACACAACAATTTGTTTATGTTTTATATGATGATAAAATACAATCTTATAAAATATAAATTGTTATGTATTAAGGAAAATCGTTGCCTACAAATCAACTCCCATTCTATGACCCAATATCAAAGTTAATGGAAACAAAATAATTATTATCAATTAAAGTCGAGTATCATTTAAACCAATGTTTTGAAAACCGAACTAACCGGTTCAATCGTTGTATTCAATGTAAGATTGCTGCACAGTATTTTTTTTATGTTCGAAAAAAATCCCACATGACACATGCTCAAAAAGAGAAAGATTGCATAAATACATATTTCAAATTTTCAAGCTTAAAGCAAACGGCTACCGGCTAATTCAAGTCTGGTTCGTGCTGCTTACTTCCGCTGTAAACCGGATTTTGTCATACCATTTTAGTTTTTACATATTCAGCCGGTTTTTTCTGGTTAAATTGGTCTGGTTAAATCCGGTTTTTTTTTTATGATCAAAACCATGACTTAGTGCTTTTAATGGTATCAATTGCATGTTGGAGGTCTTACACGATGAAGCATTAAGTTGTTTTATTACAGGTTAGAAGATGAGAATGTTTAATCCAACACGCAATCCTATGCTCTTTTTGAAGCCAGCTCATCTCATGAAACAAAGGAGAAAACATCTACTACCCATGGCTTTTAGTATGAGGGACCAATATCGAAAATTATGGACAACTGGGGTTTAACACACAAATATGGTGACTTTATAATAATATATCCATGAGGTTAAGAATTAATTTGAAGAAAGAATAAACATAGCAAAAAGTAAGTACCTGCAATATTAAAAAGGGTAGTAATCCCAAAATCTTGTAATCCATGTTTACTAACATATTATTATTATTATTATTATTATTATTATTATTATTATTTGGTTGCAGTGTGCCTGCCATCTGGAATAGCAAAGAGGACAATTGGGTTTGAAGGTGTAATGAAAGGAACATCGCATCTGAAGTAGCCTTTCCTCTCCAACTGCAATATGTCTCCACGCTTCAGTCTTCTCATGTTTGAATCCCCAACTCCCCCAACCTCTTTCTTTGTATCCTTGTTCGCCACTGGAACAATATCCTCTTCATTTTCCAGCTGCAACAAAAACACACAATTAATTATATAAGTTTAACTTCCATAACTACACGCTTTCAATCTTTGATATGGGCATTTATGTCTTTTCACACACAACACAAGAAATGGATATGGTACAATTTATCACTCATCATACCTTCTTTTTCATGATCAGGTATCCAAACTCCACTAGAGTTAATGGAACAAGCTCGTTAGTGTGAGGCAACCACGTGAGTTTCAGTTTTGTGGTCTTAAAAGATCCCTCAGGATGCAAAACCCCGATTAAGTCGGTCACATTTCCGTTTTTGTCCTTGTTGATTTCTCTAACAATCGCATTTCCCCAGTCCATTAACGTAATTTCATCGTTAGGGGATATGGCCTTAGCATCGGCTTGTTCTATCCAAATCTTTTTGGTAAAAACGGTAGCTTTATCCCCTGCAGCGGCGTATTTCTTGTGCTTTGGTATGACACGCACAAATGGCTTGTGGGGCCCATCTAATAATGTCAACAAGACCCGGTTCTCTTCAAGGATTGCTGTGTGTCTGGGGCAAACAGGGTCGATCGTTTTTTTGTTAATGTTCCAGAGTTTGTCCCATTCCATAAGATTCAGATTCTTTGAAGCTCCCTGTGAAAAAAGAATGAATATCAAGATTAACATAATAAAAGAGTAAGCTTTTATTGTTATTTTTAGAAAATGAAAACATAAGTTAACTGAAATCATCAAACTTTGTTATAAAAGATTTGCAAATTTTCATTCCATTCAATGATTAAGGGATGAAATTTTTAACAAAACAGAAGAAATTGAAACAAACAATCAAACATTTTCCATTCCATTCCATTCCTTCTCAATTCCATCATAAAAATAAATAAATAAATAAAAACTACCCAAGAAAATGAATGTGTTTTTATATGCCATCTTGGAAGTTTTTTACTTTTTCAATATCATAAACTCCAATAACAGGCATAATGTAAATAGAAAATTGTAGAAATAGCTACATACTTTACTCTCTTCACCAATATTTTATTTTTTACCCACAATAACAATGTACTTACATTTCTTTACCCATATTACAATAACATAGTAACATTTTTTAACCAATTAAAGCAAACTTACGTTTCTTTACACATAATAACATCCTTACATATTTTAATAACAATATGTAGCAAATAAAGTACATTGCCCATAAAAATTAATTGCTATTATTTGTAAACAACTGAAGTTCATTGCTATTACGGGTAATGTAATGTAATTATGTAAATGTGTTACTATTATGAGAAGAAACATAAAAGTAATGAAAGTGCGTTACAGTTATGAGAATAAACATAAAAGTATATTGCCATTATAGGTTTATAATTTAGATTATAGAATATACGTACTTGGTCAAGTATAAAGTGTATCAAAGCCTGAATTTGTAAGCCTCTGCGCACAATTCCTTGGACAGTTGGAAAACGAGCATCATCCCATCCATCAACCTTGTTCTTTTCAACAAACCAAAGCAACTTCCGTTTACTTAAAACTGTATAAACCATATTCAACCTGCTAAATTCATACAAATGAACCTTCCTAACCCCCATATCCTCTTGAATCCTTGAATACTGAGGATTTCTATCATGATACTCGCTGGATCTCAACGCGTGTGTAATCCCTTCAACAGAATCAACAAAAGGACACGCAAAATCATACGTCGGATATATTTTATACTTTGATCCGACTCGGTGATGCGGAATCGGATTACACCGATAGTAAGTCGGGTCCCGCATTGATCCATTGTTATTGGTTATGTCCAATTTACCCCTTAAACAACATTGAACTCCCTTTTCCGTTCCAAGAACCATCTCGTTCCATAGCTTGAGGTTTTCATCGACACTCTGATTCCGACATTTTGATTCTATTTTCTTCTCTCGCTCGTATTTCATCTGTTCTTTGGGGGTGTCGTCGATGTATGCTTTCCCTTCTTTAATCAACTTCTCAGCCATTTCCATGAGAATCGGAAAGTAATCGGAAGTATACGTGATTTTTTCATATTTGATTCCCAATGTCGCGATATCTTTTAAAATATTATCAACAAACTCGTTGCTTTCTTTTGCAGGATTTGTGTCATCAAACCGTAGGTTTACTTTCCCGTTGTATTTCTGAGCAAAATATTGGTTCAGTAAAGCGGCTTTTGCATGGCCTATGTGGAGATAGCCACTTGGTTCAGGTGCAAATCTCAACAAAACTTTTCCCGTTTCAGCATATGGAAGATCGGCTTCAGGGCGATTGGAATTAACAATTTCTTTAACATCTGTTGAACAACTGGGATTTTTTTTCTTTGAAAATGCTGATGTCACAGCTGCATGTTGTGTAGATATCATAGTGTACCATCGACCCAAGTTTTGGTACTTTTTTGACTTCAATAAGCTTTCCCATCTCTTACCAGCCCCTGAAGGAATTAATAAAGATATGTATAGTATTAAAATGGACAAAAAAAATGAAAGCATGCATAAGTAATGGGATTCATTTACCTGCAAGATATGACCAGATAGCAATATCTGCAACCGATAAACTATGGCCAACTAAGAAAGTGCGATGCAACAAATACCCATCAACATACTTGCATGCACCCTCATATTCTGAACCAGAAGAGAAGATGGGGGAATACTCCAGCCACTTATCAATCTGAGAAATCAACAGAATGTACGTAATTAGTAATAATTCTTGAAACTAAGATCTTCATTTGATTATGTGCAGCTTTAAATCACCTGCCCAGTTTCAAAGGCATCACGCTCATACAAGTTAGGAACGGTTGTTGATGTGCGACCAAGATACTTCACAAGTACATTTGTTCCACGTAGCTTTAACCTATATAAGAAAGAAAAAACATTTGTTCGAGTCAATAAATTAAAAACTGAATATTGCTAATACTTGTTTCTTGGCAAAATCAATTGCATCTTATAATTTATATCAATCTTCATTGGAAAGAGTCTATTTGACTTACATTATCTCAAGAGAACATCTATCAAGGCAAGGAGGGAGGTTATATGCAAGTAACTTCCAACAATTATTTGGATGTATTTGCTGAATCTAATCTTAAGTTGAATCAAACTCGAAAATACAGAAAACTAAATAAGAGATACCCGTCGGTTAGGAGAAGGACAGGCGGAGAGCCGACGGTGAGAGTTGGATTGATCGTGAGAGAAACTCCGGCAACTTCCGCCGTAGCGAGCACGGACAGAGGAGGCGTTGCGTCGGCGGCTATTAGCAGCTCCATCATGTTAGGGTAAAAGTAGCGTTAGAGAGAATTAATATTCAAGAGATGGGAAAAAACAACTTCCGGATTATCCCCAGAAGCATGTCAATCGAGAGGCGAGAGCTGAGCGAGAGAAAGCTTTCACGTAGACGCAGCGTGGTGAGTGAGAGAGAGAGACCGAGGTCAAAACAAAAGTGAAAGGATTTGGGCCAATCACTGAAGGGCCTCGCGTGCAATATTATTATAGTAGCTCTAAAATATGGGCTCAGTTTTCTGCTATAGGATTTTGGTCCATAAATGGTTATTGTACTTTTATTACAAAATAAAGATTATGATATTGCTTTATAAATGTTTTTTAATTACAAAACATGTGAAATTATGGTGGAGACATCTCATAAATCATTTTTTATGAAAAATATAATTTCGTGTCTCATAAGTAAGGTTTGTTTTGGTGTGATGGAATGTAATAACAACAAAATAAATTAGATCAATTAATATACCTTTCTAATAAATGAATCCTTTCTGTTACGTGTCATTTCAGTCTGATTTTTAGCAAATATGAAATTCCTTTTTTGCCCCTTATTCTTATGATAGTCTCGATTACATATCCAATAGGGCTGTCAAATCGGGCAGTCGTGTCGTATTTTGGTCTGACACGACACAACACCACGAGGTTTTGTATAACACGAACACGACGCGACACGATGTTATGTTTTTTTTTTCATTAACACGAAAACGAACCAATTAAAACACGATACGACACGACAAAGATAATATTACATAACTATTAGTGTATTTCGTTCATACTTAAAGATATATAACACGATAAAAACGACAAACACGACAAACACATGCTTAATCGTGTCGATTTATGAACACGAACAGGACACGACACGACATCGTGTTTTTTAATCTTGACACGAAAACGACACGAACACGAATTCAAATTTTGATTTCCTCCTGATTTTGTTTCGTTTCGTGTATTTTTATCGTGTCGTGTCATAAATTGACACCCCTAATGTCCAACTCATATGATTTCCGTAACAGATCTCCTACCTTAATGTTAATATTCACGTCTGCAAAGATTTGATTACTTACCATATTCAATCTTCCCAAATATTCTATATTGAAATCGTCAATTTCAATTTTGAAATTAAATCTCATCATCTCCCCTATACTGTCGCCTATGGCATAACCATTTTTCTCCTATTCTTCTCTCTTGCTCTCCTAATCAAACTAATTAATATTGTCTGCCCTCTCTCTCTCTCTCTCAATATTGATTAGAGTTACTAGAGATTTAAGTGATAGTGCAAATTGCATCAACAGTTCTTGTGGTCAGTATATTAATGTTCGTCATCTGGCATGTTAGTGTCGGATGAAGATGGCGATGATGGCCATCATATCACTTTCTCATTCCTACCTCGTCTAAGGTAACCATGTCCCATAAAAGCAGCCATCCAAAGGTAATCATGATATTATTGTTGTTATTATTCCTAAACCGTATATAGACGCAGTTTTTGAAGGGATTGTGTTGTTGGGGTTAACGAAATTAAAATCTATCACTTTAATTCATTATGTTTCGTATCGGATTTGATAAATTGATTGTAACCATTGCTTCAATTTCTATGTTGCAGCACCTGCACGTGTTGACCTCCTTATACTAATTGACATCATTGTTCCTCTAGGAATCACCGAATTGGATTATCAGAAACTTTATTTTCCAGGTAATTTGTTTTTCTTTGTTTTCTTCAATGAAACTTAAAAATCTAAACGATCATCTTTTATTTCTTTATCTTCCATGATCTGGATTTACAAACACTAGGTTCTTAACATTCCCATGACGATTTAAAAATGAACAATGAAAAGTCTAACTTCGGTGGAGCTTAATTGTTCATTTTGTTTATGAAAACGAATTAGTGTTCGGTCCAGAAGTTCTTTACCACATAGAAGATGATATCAATGAGAAATTCACCACTAGACTTTTTCTATTTGTTGCATTTTCATTGGGCATTAACTTCCATTCGTTAGTTGCAGCACTACATATGATCATGAATGGCTACAAGAAGTTTTCTATATGTTGTTGCTACTGAGTACTCCTTCAAACATGCTAAAAAAGTCAAGGAGTATTCGAAGGTGACCACTATTTCTTTGATTTTTGATGTAAGTGCTAGTGGCTTAATATTTTGAAATAATAAGTTTGATATTGATATATGATCATCATTAATCAGTCGTGAGATCTAAGTAAATTTGTAATAACAACAACACCAGTTACATGTAAGTATGTTTTTTGCATAGGCTGAGATCACAAATCTAATATATATATAGCTATGGAACTTCCATTTTCTTCTTCTTCTTTGGATTATAACATTTAATATATTATTTTTTGATATTTTTTTTAGAAAGGGAACTTCCCTAACGAGGGTTTCTAGGCCAGTTTTCGTGCACCGACTATTCCCCCGATGCAAACATAAAGCTTTGCATCATGCCCTGGAGTCACTGCAGACAAACCTCCATGGCCATAAGGGCTGAGTGGTGCCAGGATTTGAACATTGGTTAATAGGTTATCCAACAAATATCTTCCACATGCCTTACCAAGTCACCACAACCCAAGTGTTTTTTTTTTTTTTTTTTTTTTTTTTTTTTTTTTTTTTGATATTTTAGTGCTCAGGTCTGTGGTTTGTTTAGTAGATAGAATAGAAACTAAATGTGATTTGTTTAGTAGATAATGCTTGTAATCTCTGGCTAAATAATTATATAAAATTGATCAAAACCTGAACCTGAGATCAGATGACTACGAATACATTTCTTATATTATATTCTTAGTTTTGGTACCTTGAAATTTGGTTTTTAACTGTTAGTAACTCAGAACCTAAACAACCAAAAGTATTACCTCTTTTAGTAGTAATGAATTAACAGATGTGCCATTTACTCTATATTTATCACATAAAAATCATTCATCCAAACAAATGACTTATGCAGGTTTTAATGTTTGTTTAGGTTTTATTTGAATTTTTATATTTGGTTGGTTGCAAGTTGGACACAAAATACCTGCATTGTAACATCTTTAGGTTATATACAAATAATCCGCTTAGAGAACCATTTATTGAGGAGTAAGTTTCTTCCTATAATTAATCTCCCTTCTTGATAAAATAAACATTTGTGACATGTCACTTTCTATATCCATTTTTCCTTCAAACTGATTTGACGATATTGTTGCTTTCCCATTTATAAGTTTTTGATGATGTCTATATTTCTTAGTTGAATCATTTTAATATGTAATTAGGATGTGTTCAAATTTATATGTTTTTGTAGATGTGACTATTCATATTTGACTCTGATGTGCTCTATTCATATTAAAAAATCCACAAAGATAAAACCGATATTCTTACCTCACAAATTCGTTTCCATGCTTGATTTGTTGCGAGACATATAAAAGGTTTTGATTTGTGTTTGTACCTGAGAAATAAATCTTGGAAGGATGGATGATTTTCTGATACATCTCTACAAACAAAACTCCAAATTATTCCCCAACTACAACTTATAGCTACTATACGAAATATTACATATATAGTCCCTATTTTAATATGTTAATAGTCTTAAATTGTCCATTTTTCATAGTTTTCCAGAAAAAAAAACATAGATAGAAAATAACAATTAATATAAATATTTCATTAGTGTTGATATTTTCTTTATGCAACCTATTCTATTAAATTATATTTTTCAATCGGTACTTAAACAAGTGTTGAATTCAAATTTAAAAATCAGATAAACAAATATATAAACGTATTACTTATTTATTTGTTACAAGTTTAATATATATATATATATATATATATATATATATATATATATATATATATATATATATATATATATATATTATTGCGATGTGTGTTATTTGTTTGATTTTCATTTGATGTTGATTTAATATTACATTTCTTAATTTAATACTGTATTTCTTTAATATTATTTACAATTAAAAATTTAGACAAAAAACTTATATCTTAGTAACTAAAATTTTATAAATCTTTTGATTTTTTTTGTCATTTTTAATTATCAATATATGTGGTTTCTACGTGTTGTAACCTAATTGATTACATAACAAATGTGAATAAACCTTCAACATGTTTACAATTTGGTAGATTGGTAACCTAATTGATTACATAACAAATGTGAATAAACCTTCAACATGTTTACAATTTGGCAGATTGGCTTAGGTTAGTCTAGACTCTAGTGTATTGCGTTTCATTTTTTGAGGGGATACTACCGCTGCAGCTTTTCATCAACTTTTTTTTATTCTTTGTTTTTATATTTCACTAATCTAAAACATATCTTTTAAATCTATAAATATGTCAATAATAAAACATAAACATTTCAAAAAAAAATTAATCTATAAATATGACAATAATAAAACATAAATATGTTATTACTAAAGAATCTGATGAAAGTGTACCGGTTTTTATTAACTTTCTTCTTGTCAAATATAGAGGATAGTAATCGGATTTATAGTCTAAGATCCGACCTATAACAAACTAAAAGATAAAGGATAAACACCACTCATAAAGGATAAATACAATACGAATGACATTATCTATACACCAGGAATAATTCAAACTCCTTTACTCCCCCTCAAGCTGGAGCATGAAGGTTCCGAATGCCCAACTTGGTTGATAACAACTTGAGACGATCTGAACCAAGCGGTTTAGTAAGTAAATCAGCCAGCTGATCTTGAGTGTTGATCTTCACGGGAACAATTTCCTTGGACATGACACGTTCTCGCACAAAATAGCAATCCATTTCTACATGCTTGGTACGCTCATGAAACACCGGATTGTGTGCAATGTGGCAGGCTGAATTATTGTCACACAAAAGGGGTATTGGTGCATGAAACTCAACATCAAATTCGGTCAGCAACCAACGAGTCTAGAGGATCTCACTCACTGTGGTGGCCATTGCACGATACTCAACCTCAGCGGAAGAACGGGAAACCACATATTGTTTCTTGGACTTCCAAGAAATTGGAGCACCACCTAAAAGCAAAAGATATCCAATTCGTGACCTGCGAGAGAAAGGACACCCTAACCAATCTGAATCACTATAGGCGATTAAATCTGTCTCATTTGCTTTTGGTAGTAATATCCCTTGTCCTAAGGTAGCTTTGAGATATCGAAGAACACGCATAGCAACATTCCAATGGTTTTGTCGAG